TAACATTTAACACTTAACAGATTTTATGAACATAAATTCTGTGTAGAAACTAACAATCTAATATATATTGGGTGATGCTACATAGCCACCCTCCATGACAACATGGTTTACAACCATGTGTAATTGAGGCATTGAAAAATGTGCATTATTGCATTTTTTAATGCCTCCATTACACATGGCCGTAAACCATGTTGTAATAGAGGATGACAAAGTAGAAAAATCCATATATATTATATTATATACCTATTAAAAAATCAAAAGCAATATTTTTTATTTTTTTATATATATTGTTATCGGTTCGGTAATACCAAACCCTTATGCATTCGGAACCGATAACATTTCGGTAACCGAAAATTGGTTACCGATACGCATAATTCGGTTCGGTTCGGTTTGTTTTCACGTCGGTTCGGTTTTCGATTTTCGGTCAAAATACCACCCCTACCAAACAATGCATTCCTTTACAGTCCCCCTAGAGAATATCGACACAATATTTATTTATTAAATCAGAATCGAAAAATCAAAATCGAAAATTTATATACTAAAACAATAATCTCTTATTTTTTAATTAAATCGGAAATTTATATACAACAATGATCTCCTATTTTTTTTTTTTTCTAAATCAATGGGAATTCGAAAATCTATATAAAAAACAATCGGCACATTATCTTTTAGCCCAACAATTTTTTTTAAATAAAAAAGTTAAGAAAAAACATATAAATCGATTGAATAAAAAAGATAAATATATAGGCTATAGATGCTTACTCCAAGTCCATAATAGAGAATATAGAAAATACTATCATTTGTGTATAAACTCCCTTGACAACCTTCATTTGAATAGATTGTATTGAAACAACCAACCCAATAATATCTACAAAGTATAAAAAATTGTTATTTTATTCAAAATGCAACATATAAAATAGTATTGCATATTACATGATGTAAATATAATTAAAAATAAAATTACGAAATAGAACATAAAGAAAAAAAAATTAACGTACCAAACAACATGGCTTCTTCAATCTTACAAACATCAATCAAAGTTAGGAAGTTTCTAGACTCAAAACGATGCATAGGGAAATCCCCCTTCCATTTGACAATCTTGGTCATGCCATTGATGATGATCCTCCATTTTCCGATAGTCGTTTTATAGAGACCAATATTGCTTTCGACTTGATAGTTTGTCAAGACATACTTACCACCTTCTTCAATATCGCCGATGAATTTTTGAATATTCACAGGTCGGATTATGCCAGTAATTCGTAATCCCTAAGACAATACATCTTGAATAATTTAATAAACACAATCATATAAAGTTAAATTTAAATTTCAATGCATTATGAACGTGTGAATATATTACCTCATAATCGTGAAAGATAATCTCAAGAACATTACGGTAATTGCATAAGTCTTCAACTCGTTGGAACATCTTAATTATGCGTAGCTTGATCAATGGCTTATTGGATCTTTGAATATCCTTGATGACTCCGAAATTCAAAGGCATTTTGAATAATGTTGTAAAAGCTTCGTGAAAAAATTGTATTGCGGGATTGTATGTTTGAATATCTGTAGTTCAAAGTATTTGGTGTTTATATATGATGGGTTTCTTCTCAGATCTGGGACGGTCTAATGAGAAAACGTCCGGATCTGGGACGAACTGGTACGGATGAGCTTAGATCTGATGTGATGGCGATCGAACCGTTGTTGTGAGCCGCAAGAACACTTGCAAGAACTCAACGCCGGAGAGGTTTCCGGCGTAGAGCCTCCGACGCTCAAGTCAGTATATGAGAGAGGTGATGATAGCTACTATCAGAGCAGCAGCAGTAATGAAAAGGATCTGGAATGAATGGGAGTTAGGGTTTTGGGATTACCTCAGTCCTTTATATAGGAGTACAATATATACCTGAAGTCCCCAAAATGCCCCAGCCGACTTAATGGAAATGTCCAGAATACCCCGGTCGGTTCATATTCCGCCTACTTCCTAGTCAGCATCTAGATCCTTCCTGAGCTTCCTTCTTATCCTTAATTCTTCTTCAATATGCTGAGGTGTGTCAAAGCTATCGGGCACCACGAGCTACAACTCCATCAGTCGACCTGAGACATTACGTCGAGTCGACTGGGTCGCACTCAACTGTTAGTAGACCCTAATACGTCTGACCGTTATCTTACCAGAAGTCGACTTACTCTAGTCGACAAGTGTACATTGACTCGGTCGAGAGCCGGGCTTCTTGACTGAGTATCATGGAACCTCACTAATAGAGTCGACTTTGCTGAAGTCGACTCGGTAATCTCAAACCTGACGATATTAACCGTTATGAGCCAAATCGCGGCAATGCCGCGGTTACTGAACCGATGCACGACAGTATGGCTATATCATCTAGTCCCCTCCAAAATTACTCGAAGCGATTCTGAGCTTACGAGTAGATTTTGTCGACTGGATTTTTTCCTCGAGTCTTTTCATACGTCTCGTCATCAGTTGTCATCTCGGGTTACATCCCCTCATTACCTCAACTTGTAGTACGACTCGTTTTTCGCGAATTCTGACTTGATTAGATAAGTCTGAATCTTTTCAAATTTCAAAATTCAAAAGATTAACATTTTCTCTCTCCGCCGCTTCGTATTCTGTGCCTCATCTTATCCGTTGAAAATGACTTTAATCCGAGGGCTGGGGTTTCTTCGCCCTTCCTATAAGTAATCCCTTCTTTTTCTCCTCATCACTTTTTGCACTCGCCTCCTTCAAGATATCTGTCTGTCTCCGGCAATCACAGCTTTCTCAAGTTTCCCGGCGTTCTAGTTTTCCGGCGTTCTCCGATTCTTCAAGACTTCTCGTCCAGCATCATGAGCTTCGGTAAGTTTTCTTTGCCTGTTCGACTTTCTTTCTTTTTTTTTTTATTTATATGTTCAAGATAGGAGACCTTTTCGTTTTTCTGGGTAATTTGTCTGGGGATAAGAACATCTTCATTTTCT